TAGAACAACGACTAATATCACCTCATACGAAATATATCGACCGTTGTTTCATGACACCGTCTCAAATTCAGATCACCGGTACCTATGCCGTACCGACCCGGATTTTGAAAGTAATCCAACCCACGACCAATCTTCACAATCCATCCATTATTAAACCTTCAAAAAATAACTCAACATCATAGAAATTGATACATTCATAAACAAATCGCAAAATTTTTTCAGCAAAATGAACACCTTCAATCATTCAGTGATAACTCTTGAAGCTGACCCACTACAATTCAAATAATAAGGTTCAGTATATGATCGTAAAATCGTCGATAATAATTTTTAAATTTGTTGAACTAGTTGATTTCTTCAAATTTCAATTGCTCGCTCAAACACATGAACTGAACAAATGAATCTATCCATTGAACGCAGCATCACTTAATAATAATAATACATCACACAAAGCATTTATTAAATGTCACATTTATACTGAGCATTAGATAACTAATTATTATATTGGATTTTACTGATTACAATTAGATCAGATTTCACTAACTTCTAATTATATATCAGATTCAAAAAAATGATCAATGGTGATAGATTACGGATATACCTTATCTCTCTGTCATGGATATTTCCGTCAAAAATGATAGTCAATCGGATGTTATGTTCTGATAAACTGTGTCGCAACTCATTCAATCCTTCTTCATTGTTCGAGTCACGTTGTGTCCTCAATTTGATACTATGCAGATTCGGCGCATTCAGCAAACAATATTCACAGAATCGAACAAAGTTCACAATCTGAATACTTCAACCTTCTATCACCTGATCTTCTCATCAATCGTTACGATTCGTAACTTATAATTGTAGCATTATCTCAGGCTACAGTCAATTGTAAAATTCATAGCAACACACTTCATCCGTGTATTCACTTCAATAAATCTAGACTTCTCCAAATCATTAGATCGGTTCACGCAATAAGTGATTGATGATAAATGAAACTTTAAATGCTCAATACGATCACTAAACTGAACTGAGTTTCAGAAATACGACTGAACAAACAGAAGGGTGAACCTGATGATGTGCTATGATATAGGCATCGTCGATGCTAATTTCCGTCAATGAGTCGTCCATGCACTTCGAGAATATTTTATCATATCCATGCCCAGTCTGAAGATTTCTTATTACTGTATACCGGAATGTATTCACAATACAATGTTATCATGAGATATTACTCGATCGAATGTGGACTTCATGAAGCAATGATGCTGTCATACTAGAAATTTATACTAAAACACATCACCAATGCAAATTACGGAGTATACAAACGAAACTGACCGTTCCTTTCTTGATGCGACGCTGCTCCAGTGAGTCCACTTTTATTTTGGCTTGTCCTTTCAGAAACTCGGCACGACTCATGTACTTCGATATTTGATTCTTCAAGGAATCTCTCTGTTGCTGCGTTACTTCGTCACCTGAAATTAGCCAATTGAATGATCCTGAATTGATTCACTTCGAAACGAACACATACTTCAAGTGGTCATTTTCATACGATGTTGAACAGCTGAAAATTCAGTCTGAAAATGTCAAAACTGATGAGTATATCTATATGAAATTGGTTGCGATGAAATCAACGAAATAATAACTCAACAAGACATAGCCTCCATAAGAACGGCAATTCCCTCGACGTACTTCTGAACGGCTTCCATCTTCTTATCGTCTTTATCCAATTCGACCGCTTCCCTTAGTGGCTTCTTACCTCTTTCAATGTATCTTTCCATTTCATGCAATCTTAAAGTCAGTTTATTTATCATATCCACCAACATCTACCATCATCGAATCGATTATAATGGCTGCGTAAATTGATTAACATCATAAGCACATTAACACATTAGAACAAGACATACACGTAAAACATGTTCAGATCTAACTGGACGTTTCAAGCAAAAAGACGGAACAACCATTAGCTCAGAATGTGCTCATCTGAAAAAATGATTTACATTTAAAAAATCACCTGACTACTTTCACACTCGTAAAGTAATCACTCGAAAAAAATTCCGAATATAATCATTTCGTCGAGCATCTCGACAGGTGATGTTATGCCAAATTTAACGCACTTACTGTCTGTATCTGTGTGTCTTCGCTAATAAGTCGCCAGTTGCTATTATCAAATGCAATGATGTTACAATTACCATGGCAACACCAAGAAATTGAGATCGATTAGATCCTGCTTCATGGACATTCCCTAATAACACTCTAGCATGATTCTCGAATTTATCAGTTATCTTGAAATTTTATCACTTCCATCGACAGGACACCAACTCACAGATATACGCCATGTGAAAACATTGATACCGAGGTATCTATCGTTTATTTGCGATTATCTGTTTGAAATTATTCAGAACATGTTTATATTCAAGATATAAACTATGAACTGTTGTTAAGCATGTAGTCTTTAAGTCACTTCAGTCTTTAAGTATTCGTTTAACAAAAAAATGTAACTCATTACATTCACCTCAAATCACTGCAAAAGCTACGCTAATTGTAAGTGTGCACATTTGCAGGCGACTCTCACAATTGAGTGTTTCGCACTAATGTTTGTTCAGTTTCTTGGAGGAATGAACGATACTCTCCGAAAATTTATCATTTAAGAAGTACAATATTGTAAGAATAAATGCCGTTTCATGCAGCAATCCTTTAATTTGATTTTACTTCCATTCAGACACTCAGCATTCGATGTTGTTGGTGGTTATTCACCCTTGATCGTATCATTTTTTGACGGTACCGCGAAGCAATTACCAGAACCTTCGATTACAGCATTGGCTCAACAACCATTCTGGTTCACGAATGATTTCAGGTGATTCACAGTCTCCAGACACTTCAGACATCCTTGAATAATTTCACATGCTCAGTTACAATTGTATCTTTTCAAAAATCAGGATTCTATACAGCGAATCTCTAGCGTGGAATGTAAAATGCACAATACCTGAGGAATATAGAGCAATTAGAAATTGAAATATCTCATCTACGATAGCTAAACTTGATAATTTCAGCAACCAAACAACGAATTCTACAACAGAAGATGAGGTACCTTCCAAATAAATTTATATTTCAATAATTCCTCATCGTTGTTTTTTCCGCTGTCTCCTCGAAGTATTGCATTCAATGGAAACCATCGAATCGCAATCGGCACATTAATAATTTTGATGAACTCCTGTTATGGAGATATGCATAATCTTCCGGTGACAATTCTGGAAGTTACTTTGAAAATCGTTCAAAATGAACAAATGAATTTGTGAATGAAGTCATACAGCGATTGATTCCCATTTCATGATATCGATTCTACTTTTCCGAATTTTTTCAATGATTCCCCTAAATTATCTTATTAAATTGTTTTCAAAAGATCAATGAATCCGGATTAAATGTGACCGAACAGTTACTCGGTTCAATGCATCCAGCAGGAGCAGTAGATCTGTATCGAGCCGGTGATGAGCTGAATGCCAATGGTCTTCTTCGATTGATTTTACCAGGTCTTGTTTTAGAGAATCTTCAGTACCAATCAACTTGATAATAAATTATAAACAATAGCAGTGATAATATAACACGAATAACATCAACAATTACGATATCCATACTAATAATATCGTGATGTTGATGAGGTTATGATAAAAACAACTGCAATAAGTTAATGATAGACAAAATGGTGCATGTAATTGAAACATTACTGATTAATTGATAATTAGATGATAAGGGTGTGTGTTCGTCTTCGAGTACAATGCCGATTAAGTATGCCATTAATACGACAACATATTGTGCGTGGAGCATCGAAAATTCAGAGGTTTATTCCGATTACACGTTCAAGTTCCCATTTTTGAAGCATCAGTCAAGGCATTTTTAAAACTCTCAAAAAATTCGCCTCATTTGATACAAATCTCCAGGTTGATCATTAAGAATGATTGAAAAATAATTCAAAGAAATCATTCTCTTCGAATGTATTTGTGAATGCAGTGTAAAAATGCACTGGAATGTTGCAGAATAATGTTGAGAATGGTGAATATTCTCGCGAACAATTAACAACTCTAATGAATATTCATTGCAGAGTTGCAACAGATCTTTGAAGATGAAAAATTATTTCCTTGATTATATCACTGCAAATGCGATTTGTGATCGTTCAAATGACAACTGCTTCACACCGATTTTGATGTTTGTTTCTTATGGATATAACATCATTTTTTTTCACTAAACAGCATTCTGGAATGAAGTCATTTTCTTCATTTGATAGATAGTTTTGAGCTTGGTGAGGTAATATTGCTAGGTTCATCGTTCCCAATGAGAATAGATTAGCGATTAAGAAATTTTCATTTGAAGAGATTACAATTACAATGGAACCACAAACCAACTGAACGATTGTCAATATTTGAGCGATATGCTCATCGACATCATCACTCAAAACGGCGTTATCACCGGTTTCAAAATAAGGTAACCAATTATTCAAAGTAAACGATCCAGTCAACTTTCTTACATTCAGTACTATTACAGATTTCACGCTGATCCATTTTATTGTTCATCTCTTCAAGATGAGCTTTGTTTTATATCAGAATATGACTGTACATTTCTTATGCAATTCAACTGTTCGTTGAATCGAAGTAACACCATCAGAGATCAAATTGATAACGTCAATTTCACATTTGAATGTGTGTATGAGCAGTCACAACAATGAAAATTCCAGCTTCCGTATGCAGAACGCTTCATGTTATCTGAACAATTGTATGTTCTCAACTAAAGTATCTTTTCATGAAGTATCGTATTCTTCAATATCTCATGGAAGACATTTGTCACGGTTCGTTGCGATTGCGAGACTATTTTACCCATTCAGAAGTAAATCTCATGAGCAGTCATAAACATAGATAAAATGACCGTATCAACAGCAATGTTTTAGCTCAATGCATCAAGAAATCACGACGATTTAAAATTATCGGAGACCAGCGTTTTTAACGAATAATGATTGAATCTAAACGTAACGATGATTTTAAAAATAATCAAGATTCAGTGATAATTTAGTCCTGTGTTAATCGTCTATTATTTGAACGAGAAGGGGTCTTAAAAAATAAATTATCGATAAGTGTTTGAGATGATTGATAAGCATAATTTCTACAGTTACACTAGTACTGGCCAAACGTAATGCTCATTTCAACCGTAATTGTTACTGACTGTAAAAATTGCAGATTTGATGTGAGCGAAGGACATCTACGTTGCCCATCCGAAGTGACTTGTCTTAATGAGTTTCGATATTTCTTAAAAGTGATCGATTATGGCAGCTCAATGGCACAATTCATTTCACTTATACCAATCATGATTATCGCTGTGATTTTTGTCTCATTCAAATATATGTTCTAGCTGTGCAATGTATCAGTTCGCAAACACTTTATTTCTTGGGCAATGCATACTTCACAAGGTAAATTCCACGATTACTTCAATGCATTCTCAATAAATTCTACAACTCCGGAAAGGAAGGTGCTTGATTCGTTCTCAAACCGCCATTCAATGAAATGAAATGCAAACTTATACTATAAGTGTGGTTAATGCTTAATTGCTGATCATATGCTTAACTGCTGACTTAATGAACCTAAGCGGAACAGAATTTATTAAAAACAATGTAATATTTCACAATTATCATCATCAACAACAGCAATAAAATTCTATAACGATGTCATACAATATACAATTTTGATGGCAAATCAGCATGTTTACAACTGATTCAAAAGTGGTTTTGATACACGAAAGTGATAGAGGTGATATCTGATCAAATTATCAGACAATTCAATAACAAAATCAAAACTGCAATTCAATGAAATGAATGAGTGCAAATGTATACTATAACTATTATGCGAAAACAATTTAAAGAACGTAATCTTAATGAAATTAAAATGAGATTACAAATCCATAAAGATCTATAATAGTACTCGGTAATAACATGTAGATGCAATGCAATAACATATTTTAAATGCGTTAGCTGAAGGTGTTTTATAAATGGATTATGTACAGATATACACAGAGGTAGACCAAATATCTTCGTTAATTCGATTCATATTTATCGTTTTTTCTTTACTCCAATTGCTGGACATATATCTTTATTGAGACACGTCGAGCACTTCGGGTAAAGAGGAGTGCAGGTTTGCTGGCCAAACCCTACTAATGTTTTATTGAGAGTGGCCCATCGTTCACATGGAATCAACGCTTCTAGCGCAGCACCAGTCTGTTCTGGAGTAGACGTTTTCACCTGTCAATATAAACAATACAACTTCAAAATATGATATAAATAATGTGGAAGTGATTAATAATAATGGTTTGGATTGAAAGAATGAGCTCGAGAAAGCTTAATTGAAACAATTACGCTTCATGATAAATACATATACAATAAAACTAAAAAAATCAACGGATGACTCGAAGAATTAACAGATTAAGGAATAAAAACCGCACCCATCCGAGCCTATTTGCAATTCGATGAACATGCGTGTCGACACCGATTCCCTCGATTTGATCCCAAGCATGCTGCATCGTTAAGTTTGCCATTTTTAGACCAACACCCGGCAGCGAACACAATTCTTTGATTGATCTCGGTATATCACTTTCATATTTTTCCTTCAACACTGATGCCGTCTTCTTCAAATATATCGCTTTCTTCTGAAATCATTTAGGATTTGCCATATAACATTTTGCACAAATAAAAAAAAACGCTGAATTCAAAAGGTTTTTTAAAAACCTGAACATCAATTTCCTCGTGATTCCTGATAACAATAAAGCCATGAACTGACCTTGTAAAATCCAACAGGTATAAGTAAATTACGAAGTTCTTCCTCATCCATCCCTAGAATGTTTTCCACGGTACAACCTCGAGCTTTAAGTCGCTGCAATGTAGTCCGAATTCAGTTAAAATGTTTAGTCGAAAAAAGGAATTATTCAATAGGTGTTGAAATGGTACACGAAAAATTGTTAATATCGGTCATGCCGTCAACAAAAAGGACATTTTGTGAATGGAATCGTTCGCTGAGAATGGCAAATACTGCCTATTTACCTGCATAGCAGCCGCCGTAACCTCATCTTTCGTCTGACTCGATAGCATTAACGAGACAAGGATTTGAAAACGATACGTCTGAAAGCAAACGTTTACTCTCAGAATATCAAGCCTGACAAATCATCTTTCCGGTTATAATAACTGTAAACTACTGGACCCATAGAACACTCAAAATGATTTCATCACTGACTGTCATAAACCGAAATTTAAATCAAATATTGAATAAGTTCGTAAAACATTATTTACTTCACTTGAACGAATTGAGGTGATTGGACTTCATCTGGAACTGAAAAAAGGGCTCGTAAAAAAAGAATATTTCTAGCGAAAACGACACACCTGAGGCGACGACAACACATCACCTAACATGTCACATCCCACTGTATCAACTGGTGCGTCTTTTGTCTCCCGAATCTTTTCCAAATTCTCAAGATGTTGTTGCCATAGCGGTTTTTCATTTTCATCCTCCTTCTTCAACTTCTTTCTTCCAGATTGGCGTTTGTTAGTTGTTTCAGTAGTATTACTCGCAGCATTCACCTCATTCGGTTGTTGTTGTTGCTGTTCCAGCTCGATTTTGATAGCTTTACCACGTCTTTTCACCATATTACTAAAATAAACTTGAATATCTCGGTGGGTAAGGAAGGCTTCTAACCATTTTTCAAAACTTCTTCAAACGGAATGGAAAATATTACCAAGTTAAAACAGTACGAAAATTGTGAACGAAACATTTGTAGAATTGCACATTTCGTAACATTTCACAGTTTAGCCTTAACGGACTCTTGGGACTTTAGTTTTGCGATTAATCGTGATCTTATCTCGATTTTTTTCGTCACAGCATTTTCTCAGAAGAATAAGATCATGAGAAAAGTTATCAGCGATCTCAGTTCCTTGAGAATCATTGAAGAAATAAATTACAATTTTTATTTTCTAGTATTTCGCGCTATTCATAATTCATCACTGTTAGTGGTGTTGCCACGATATCTGGAGTGATCTCATGATTTCACACATGTAGTGTCAAACTTTGTGCAGATATTATGTCTCGAGAATATTCGTAAAATCAAAGAATCGGAAAAATCAAGTATTAATAGTTGATCCAAACTTAAACAATTCGTTGAAGAAATCTTATTCCAACTGTTGGCGAAATTGGCTATTGGTTATCGGTTAAAGAAGATTTGAATTGTGCTCATGCAACATTATACTCTCAATTGCAATCGAATTAATTTTAGAAATCTAGCAATAAACAGTAATTGGAGAGGTAGATTTGGATAAAATCAGTTTGTAAAGATGAATTACGATCCATCGATGCTAGCACACTGTCTTCCTGATTATTACAAGTTGCTGTTTCCGTTCAAACCATTCTGCAAGTGGCTTTGCTATGGTCAAAGTGAGTCAATTCATTAATTCCATTCGATGAACTAATATTACATTCATAATCACTACATTGCATTACATTTCACTTGAAGTGTGCAATCATAATACCGTCGAATAAGAGTAGTTTTTATCATTCTATGTAGTTTTCATGCAAAAGAAACACTCTTTCGGCACCAATATACCAAATTATCACTAAGAAAAAACATGCAAAGCCAATGAAAGTATTAAGAGTTCTTTTGAATTCCGGACAGTGAATCAGCAGCATTTGAGGTACATTCAGTTACTTCAAAATCGAGACATTCAATAAATTTGCAGAGCCATCAGCATATTTCTCGTATCGAGAATTCGCATTCATTTTCGAAGGAGATGTACACATACGCTATCGATCGTTCAACGATATGCTCGAATTCGAGAAAGAACTCTGCAAAAGCAGTCCCTTTAAACTGGATATTGGAGCCATCTATAATCATAAGGTTAAACTGAACAATTCGATCGAAACTGAATTTCAATTTTCATCAGAGAAGATAACTTTTAACCTCATTTCATTCGAATGAAAACATTCGGCACTATACCAAGCATACAAATTCTCGTGAAATTCTCTGCACTTCTCAACAATAATGCGTGATGGCAAGCAGCTGAATACATTCAGAAACTCTCATTTCTTTCAAAATAGTGGGATTTTCCTCGGATAACCTGCATTCACAATGTAGATGAAATAACCGCAGGATATTTTCATGTTTAACGGCTCCAAAAAATTTTCAATAACTCCTTAGAAGTTCTACTTTCAGCCAAAAGACAATAAAAAGTTCTCGGATTTCCGTGCGGAACAGCGTGAATTGGTATTCGATATTGACCTGACTGATTATGACGAAATTCGGAAATGTTGTTCGTAAGTTTTCGGTTCAAATTTGGTCAGTTTATCAAAATAAAGTTGCATTCGAAAGGAGGATTACGACCGCCTCAAATATGATATCAACGATAATTTCTACGGAAGTGCATCGAATAGTGTTCAGTCTGACGACTGTCATCAAGTCTATAAAATTCTTATCTAAAATTCATCAAGTCTAAAATTCTCAATGAACAGATTGCTAAAATGTCTATTGAGAATATGCGTGGTCGATGTTACATTCGCCGTTTTGACGGTTAGTAATCGCCATAGATAATAAGGATAGTAATGGAAATTATAATAGTAATTACTGTAACAATTTCATTTCTTCATAATGATATAAGAATGAAATATTGCAGTGGTGCAAATGTTTGTAAGAAATGTTGTCGATGGATAACAATCGCAATGAAAGTGTTGGATAGACTTCTGAAAGGTTACTATTATTTTTCCATTCTTGTTTATTTTTAAAGTGTTAATTTTCAGCAATCCATTTTCGTTCACCGTAAATATCTATTAATTTTCTTTGATTCATTGCGGAAAATCTATGCTGAAAGCGTAAATTTCGGATGAATAGAAGGGACAGCAACATTGACATTCTATTGAAACCTTTGGCATTCATTTGTAGAGGCGAACGACTTTGGGAGGTTTGCTTTTACTCAAATTTGAAACACTTCAGAACATTTTGGTTTCAAACATCGACTTTGGGTATTCTCGGGTCGAAGAGGAGTGCACTGTTGGGTAGCCGATGCAGAAGCACGTAAACTGACCAATCCGGGTCGAGCAGCCGTTGCCTCATACTTATCGTTGATATCGGTTTGTAGAATCGTTTGTTTGGAATTTTTGAAGTTTTGAACATTGACTGCAGTTTTATCGGTGCCTTGGAAATGCCTTCATCGCATCGTTTGAATTTTGAATGATCAAGATGGATTAACTGCAGTGAGTATGGATCGTTTGAATATTGCAGAAGTCTTTTGTACATTGAGTTATGTGCAATGGCCGTTCCTTACGTTAATTTAAACGCCTTGTTCTATGTGAATTCACTGCATTTTCTGATGGATAGCAACTGTTCCGTATCGTTGTTGATAGTAGATGTGTTGCATGCAAATTTATCATCAATAATAAATGATATATACAGGCGAATTTTATCTAAATAAGATTGGTTTTCTGTTTTTTCATGAAGCGATTCATTCAGGGTCAACAAAATATTGTGAACGTTTCTGAGAAGAAAGGCTTCGTCCATCCGGTGATTAGTGATGCATATCAGTTTATCATGGAGACGTGAGTGTTTCACTTTTGAAATCGTTCCATCAGCGGATTTCCTCATTGTTAAACTCGTAAAAAGCCGAACGGACATTGTGAAGTGTTGTTGTGATTACGTTCGATACAATAGAAAACTTATGAATTTTAGCGGTGAAGTGGATCGAATGGTAGTGGAACAAGGCTGGTTGAGTGGTGAAGAGGGCTTGTCGGCGTTGACTGAGGGATGCAAAGATGACAATGTTATCAATGAACTCAAATCGATTATTAATGATGTTATGAGGTTAATCGCATTTGTTTCAGATTTAATTGCTTTCGGTAATAACAAATTTTATCGTTATTCGTCATTTTGATCTTACAGAATCGATTCAATCGAACAGCAATGGCTGGCGTTGAGGATAAAACTGGATAGCGTGAAACGAAAGGAGATGATGGCACAGAAAGGTGTGGAGTTATGCAAGGTCAGTTGTATAGTCCTATAAATTGTAGTGTTTTCTATATGAATTTTGAAATGAGAGTCTGAGTTCCTCAGTTCTTAATCTTTTTTTATAAGTTCAATTTTGCCGAATATACATATATGATGTATTATTCAATGCAATTACATCGGTCTCAATCATT